AAGCATACATTCAAAACAGGATGGTGCGCCTTGTGGGGTTCTTTACGGAAATCCCTCCACAAATAATCGCCGCCCGATCAGTATGCGCTCCACCCGTCACCCAGGGAGTGACATAACACAACGAGAAGACAGCAAATGGGTTTACTGTACCTCTCGGTTGCCCATCGTCGAGAACCGGCAGTTCAGGCCCGCCGACCCTTGTTGTCGCCCGTCGATCAGAGCTCACAGTCGAAGTCCGTGTCCAGGCCTGCGGATCGCCTTTCCCACGTTAGCGCTGCGTAGGCTGGCTATCCCGGGCTATCAATGCCCGAGTCTCGCTGCGGAATCACCCCGGGATCGTCATAGCCCAGGTCATATGGCCAGGGCTTGCCGTTTTTACCGGTCTTGCTCCAGACCTCGCTGGTGGACCGCTCCAGGGTTCGCCATGGGCCAGGCCAGACAGCTTGGCCCCCGACGTTCTTGTTCAGCTTCAGCCTCGCTCAGCACGCACTGTCTCGCGCCAGCTCGTGTCTTCTCCGCCGACCGCCTGTCACGTGCCGTCTGCCTCATCTTTCACCCTCGGCTCCCACACTCTCCCCCCCTCAAGGCCCGGACTTCGGGGGACTTCATGGGCCTCAGGGAGCCACTGGGCTTCATGGGCGGCCGCTATTGTCGGAGTGGCCACGATGCAGCGTCCGAAAGCGGCGTAGGTGGTGGTGGCTAGCGAAGCCGTCAGACAATGACGACCTGTCTGTCGCTCGCTATCCCACTCACCGCGATGCAGCAGGGGGCTTGCTCGAAGCTGGTCCGGCCGACGCAGACAGACCTGCCCCGTTCCGCTTAGAGGTCACAGCGGGCTTAAAACTGCCTGCCTGAATTGTTCATCAGGCCGAAAAACTGTCAGCCACCCTGAGCACTTGGGAAAACGAATGGACCCGTCTTCCCTCCCGGTGGGCTTCCTGGGTTACGCCGTCTATGGCCGTCTTTCCAAGAAGCTATTCTGCGCAGAACAAAGTGTTAAAACAATACACAACGAACAAGTATTCTGCTGCAGACTGTGGCAGTGGCCATAGCCTCTACCGCCAAATAGCTTGCCGACGGGTTCGTATACCATGCAGCTAACTCAGCAGGTCCGCATTCCGGAACTCGCTCCTGGGTCGCCAAGAACAGGAAATTTCTTGTGTCCTACCGTAACCTCATGTTATACGTCTTCCCAAATGCGACGACGGTAGTATATCCTTCCAAGCCAGCGATGTGAGCCGGGCAAGCCTCCTCGTTTGTATCTCGCCGAGTAAGCCTAGAAGTACGACACGACGCTCGCGTCTTTATACCTCGGGTGCCCTTCTCAACTCGGAGCAAGCGATGCGGCAAAACCACTAGCTGCATTGCCCAACGCGCGAGTTTCCTTCAGAACAGTTAACGATGGACTAAACCTAGTCCATCTTTTGCGTAAGCGAAAGGATCCAAAGCTTGTGGCGGGATGGCCATATGCTATACCCGCGTACCGCAACGGCTACATATACCATGTGCTACCCAACGTCAGCGTCCCGTTCCGTCTACGTGCGTACGACATCTAGGGACCAATCGGTCCTCGGAGGGGGCGGCAGCCCAGCGAGTAAGCACGCTTAAACCGTTCACGCGTCAAGGAAAACTGGACAGCTGCAAGCCACCTAAATGTCTACCACCTCATCCCCCGCCAGGTCGTGACGCGACATAACTTATTAAAAGTCTTGCTGTCACTGCCACGACCGGCCAGAGTGAAGTCGAGAAAGAACCATATAGAACATTTCTTAGCTTTCTTGGAACGACCCCCCTCAAGGGAGAGTCGTCCCTCTGCCCTTCGTCGGTTGTTGGAGTGACGCGAAGCAACTAGCCGTCTTGGCCCAGCAGTTACAAATCATAGTGCTATTAACTCGCCTGCCAGCGTTCCCAATGTCAACCGCAATTTCCGCTAGTTTATCCGACACCCGCTGACAATCTCGTCCGCCAGTGTTCCCGGTGTCAACTGCTATTCCCGCAGTCTTTCCGACACCCACTGATAAAAACCCATCTGCACCCCGGGCCTCGACAAGCGCTTGCTTGCCTACCGCATCACCCCAAGCCTAAATCCTAAATCTGCAATGAGTCCTGGCTGTTTCCCTCCTGCTAGTCGTTATCCTGCCTTCCAGCGAACATGCCGTGCCTCTTTTCTGCCTCCGAAGTCGACTTTCTTACATCTTAATTGCGCTCCTCGCCTCCTGCCAACCACTATTCTGGGGTACCCGAGAAGGGTGTATCTCAAAACGTCCCATTCGCATTTGAACCTTGCACATTTCGACCCATTCTCATTTGGTCCTTTCTCGTTTGAACCTTCTCATAAGATCCGAATCGTGTTTTTCGCAACTGGTCCCATTCTCATTTTGCCCGTTCGCGCTACGACCGAATGGCACTAGCTCGGCATGCTTTTAACGTCTTTATGCTTTCGCGACTTTGTTGATGAGTCTTACCTTGCTTGAGCCCACAACATACCATCAGATATATGTTATGTGTAGAGGTACGCACTGAGAATCGTACATTGACGCCTGCTTCCCTTCCTCTAAGCATACGCGAAAAAAAAGCGATGAACATTTAATTTGGAAACTTTGAACAAAAATAGCATACATTACGGCAGTGGTTCTCAACCATTGATGTTTCGCAGACGCCTTGTAGAAAGGCGGAGATGATGGAGGACCCCGTTCGGGGTGAGGGGAATAGAAAGGTATAGGTTATCATGATAATTATTTAATAAATAAATATAACTAATTGCTAGTGTAAAGTAGATTGATCTCATTGACATACATACGAGAGTACTCTCCCGAAAACTGGAACGTTTCTTCTGAAGGTGAAGAAAGACAACTAATATTGCCGTGCCTGATCTGACAAGACAGGGCCTCGCGGACACCTAGGATGTCTTCGCATGGTGGTGCACGAATGCACCCGATGTCAAAAGCCCAGTGTCCAATACCCCGCGGCAAACACCCCGTCCTTTTTACCCCGCTTTCAAAAGCCCCAGTTTCAGAAGCCCATGATGCGAATCCCCCGTGTCAGGCGGCCAGGTCCTCAACTTCACGGCTGATCATTCTGCTTTTAACTAAAAGAAAATGTGTAGTCCAGCTTGTGTAACGTAATCATGAGGTACCCGGGACTTAAGTAATGAATAACTGGATAAAGCTTCCGTTCTTCAGGCGTGCACTAAACACATTCACGTCTTGCGACGTTAGAAGTGAAAATACGAAGACAATATCATTCACTGGCAAAACATTTGATGTTACAGCTATTATCAATAAGCATTTAACCGAAGCTTTCGTTGACTCTGAAGCACGCGCGGATTCACAATTCCGACGAAGTGGGTTCTGTCAAAGCTGTTAAACCGCAGATCATGGCGCCATATTTATCGCAGCAAAAGTATTTGTACTCGTCTAGCTAGATAAACTTTATAACTTTGCGTCTCAGTATCCTTCTATGATAGCGGAGTGCATTGCTGGTGATGCAGATTTATGCAGTTGGCCACTTGTACATCTTTCTAAGTATTTCGGCGATTGAAGTAACCTTATTTTGTTTTTTCTTTCAATTGCATGACCCTTAGTAGGCGCATGGAACAATGCAGGTTGAAGCGCAAAGAGGGTGGGAGGGGCAGTGAGGACGGGGCTTTTGGCACGCGAAGAATACGGGACGGTGTAATTGAACGCGGGGTTTTTCGAAATGTGGGGCTAATGAAGCGGGGCTTTTGCGACAGGGATTCTGTACACGGGGCAATCGTGCTACACCCGTCTTCGCAGACCCCCTTTTGAGAACCACTGCATTGCAGAAGTAGCGGCATAGTCCCAAGTCGAGAGACCTCAAACGACGTGACATTTTGGAATATGATCTGGCTGCGATAAATAGTTTGTCTGTTTTACTGTCAACTAGTAGCTTTTCACGACGACCCCGACGCACTGCTAAAATCCTTAGCAGAGAGAGTACGCCTGTAGTGCGGCACACACACACGCACAAAATATGTCGATGTATTTATTAATATTACCCTAAAAAACGATTGTGGTATAGAAAGAGTCAAGTGCGACGGGTCAAAGCGAGATATTTTTGAGAATGGCCGTTTTGAAAAGGGCCAGGTGAAAAGGGCGAAACGAGAACGGGCCCAAATGACGAGGGTTGGAATGCGAAAGAGAGAAGATCTTTTTGAGAATGGTTGTTTTGAGAAGGGCCAAGTGAGAAGGTCGAAACAAGAACGGGCTCAAATGATAACCACCCACCCGAGAAAGCGCGTCCGCAAACTCGTCCTTCGAGCCCTTTAGGTACTCAATTAGAGGAGACACCTGCTAAGCTCTGCTGTGAGACAAGTCTCCCAAATTCCAACATACTTTGTCTCAATGGGCATCGTTAGCGTTAGTGAACAACCCGCTCAACGAATCCGTCGGACTCCCTGGGGATGACTAGAAGCAGAGGCATACCGAACGGGCCCCACGTTGGATGCGCCATTTTAATGTGAGGTTCTTTACGGAGATCCCTCTACTAATAATCGCTGCCCGATCGGTATGCGCTCCGCCCGTCACCCAGGGAGTGACATAACACAACGAGAAGACAGCGAATTGGTTTGCTGTACCTCTCGGTTGCCCGTCGTCGAGAACCGGCAGTCCAGGCCCGCCGACCCTTGTTGTTGCCCATCAATCAGAGCTCACAGTCGAAGTCCGTGTCCAGGCCTGCGGATCGTCTTTCCCACGCCAGCATGCGTAGGCTGGCTGTCCCAGGCTATCAATGCCCGAGTCTCGCTGCAGAACTACCCCGTGATTGTCATAGCCCAGGTCATATGGCCAGGGCTCGCCGTTTCCACCGGTCTTGCTCCAGACCTCGATGGTGGACCGCTCCGGGGTTCGCCATGGGCCAGGCCAGGCAGCTTGGCTCCGACGTTCTTGTTCGGCTTTAGCCTCGCACAGCACGCACCGTCTTGCTCCAGCTCGTGTCGTCTCCGCCGACCGCCTGTCACATGCCGTCTGCCTCATCTTTCACCCTCGGCTCCCACAACCTGTGCCGACTGTATTGGAAAATAAAGGATCGGTGGCCGAGTGGTCTAGCGCACACCAGCTCGGAGCACGTGGAGCGAAAGCTCGCGCTGCAGAACCCAGGGATCCTGGGTTCGAGCCCCACCCCTGCCCGTTTCAATCTGGATGAGCATCGTACCGGCATGCGGTCGTGTATCACTACTGCGTGATGCACGTTAAAGACCCCAGGCTAGCGGCTGAACCGCACTGGCTAAATTTCTCATCTACAGCTGGGAGACTCGTCGCCCCTGTGAGGCAGACCAAGTTCTAGGCTGTATAAACACACACACAACCCAATTTTTTTTTAAAGGAAACCCTTGTGAATGTGTATATCTGCATTGTAGTAAAAGTTTCAAAATTATACTGTTATGCAAGAGTATACTATGTTAGGCAGAGATGCCCTTACAATCTGCATTCATTATGCATCATCCATTTTTTTTACTAGAGATTAAAGAAAGAATATTTTATATAGCAAGATTTGTAAATTAACTCCATCAATTAATAACCTACCATAACCCAGTTGGCCATCTCTACAGTATTCATTTAATGTCAAATTCATTGTTTAATTGCCATCGACACCAGACCTTCTGAGGTCAAAGTTCATAAATATAGATAGATTAAACTTAGTTTATAAATGAACAAGTGGAACAACCTTCACAAGTTTCCGTCTAAGTATTATGCAATGGTAGTGAAAGGCGTGGAAAAACTACTCGATTTTCAAATTGAAAATATTCGGTCAAAACCTCTATTCGCTTCGAACCCAAAATCCAATATTCGCACAGGACTAGTTCCTAATGTTAACAATGAATAGATCTAAAATTGCGTCACCGCGGGTAGGGGAGTTTACAACTTGGTGCAATCCGAAACAGCCTACCAAGGCAAGAAAATCATTGCACTGAGCAGGATTTGAACACTACATGGACGGGCTGAGAGTCACCCAGATGAATCCAGGGCAATTAAAATCCCCTTCTGATATTAAATCATTGTTTGGGTAGAATTCTGTTAAGTGCCCCAAAGAACTATACATGGCTTCATGAAAGTCACTTATATTTGACTTTGGCAGCCAATGACAAGCACCAATGAATAACCTACGATAACCCAGCTGAAGACGTACCCACAGGGTTTCGAGCAAGGAGTCGGAAGATATTAGTGAACATTTTAGATTGCACTTTAGAGCAATAAGTACACAGCCACCCCTTGCGCTAAAGCTATCTTTTCGGTATACATTGTACTCTTTGCTCAATGTCAGGTACTTACCGTCTACGCATGATGTAAATTAGGTTTCAGTTGCTATGATAATGTCCATTTCGCAAGAGGTGGTGATGCTTTCAAATTCTACCTCTTAAGAGGCTATTAAAATTTACTACAAAAAAAGACAGTGTTGAACAGAAGATTTGTGCACATTCGGGGGTTGTCAGTCAACTGCACGGGGAACTTCAAGTGGCCTTTAAATTGAAATGACAGTTTCAGCAACACTGTCATATATTTCACTGCCGACATGCAATTTATCAAATGACAGCTTGTATCAGACATGGTGCTCCCTAAACCGAGCGGCAAACTCCAACAGTTTCTTTCACCCGAAACGCACTTTTGGAGAGAAGTCCTCCGAAATGCACACCCTGGGTGATACATTCTTTAATTTTGAATCAGAGTACATTATCTTTGTTTTCGAAACTGAGTAATGTGACAATAATGGGACGGTTCGAACCGACACGTTTTGGCCCAAGACAATGCGCTCTTTCAATTTCGCCAACGTTTGGCATGAGATTATCCTTGATGAAATTATATAACAGTTGTTCGTTGTCATTCCAGGTCTCATTTTCGCATTGTGGCAAACCGCCAAAGATGAGATTGTTTCTGCACATCTGGCCATTCATGTTGTTCAAAGTGTCCCTAAATACAGAGACACTCGCAGACACTCCACTCAACAAGATGAAGCATTGCGGTTACACAAGCCAAACTTTCTTTTATTTGCCCCATTTGAGTAACTCTGGCCTCTAAACTAGCACACGTCTGGCCAGGTGGGCTATGCCCTTGTTAATTTTGTTTAGCTTGGCCATACTTTCCCTCTGGTTTTGGTTTCTGACTGCTAATGGGCTATCAATAGCTTCTTGCAGTTTGTCTATTTTCTCACTGTTTGTAATCTCGGGGCCGGGGATGAGCTCAATGTTGCCGGCCGACCCTAGTAACAGGACCAGAAGAGCAAAGAGTTGGACATGGTTGAACATTCCAGGAGATATTAAACTGCTTCGGCAGGAACAGACGAGACTTTCTTTTTGAGCACATTGTAAACCTTCCGATACGAATTTGGTAGGTTGCAATGTCAACTCACATTGGTACACACTGGTGGGATTTGCAGCAGGGTTGGGCAGAAATACTAAAAAAATGTATTTGGAAATACAAATAGTGGGATACATTAAAATAGTAGCTAAAATACTGATACTGAAAAATATCTGTAAAAGGGTGTCGCAATACATATCGGAATTACATTTTAGAGGCAAGAAGTATTTGGAAATATAAATACAGGAATGCATTTAAGGGAAGGCAGAAATACAAATACAGAAATACTGATACTGCAATTCATTTTTCAAATTTGTTTGAGATGCCAAATGAGATGAAGCTTGAAGTTGGAAGTGTAAGTTTTCGATCCTGAAATTACTTTCCCGTAGGCTTGGCACTTTGCTTCAAAGGTAGTGATTTCGGACGATGAGGAGTCTTCAGTGGGCTCAAAAAAACGTTCCATCAAGGATTGACCGTGGTCCCTTCCCTGACATCCTGTCTGTCTGACGAGGGATGCGAAAAAACTGACCTCTAAATAAATTCTATGTCATACTAAATCGCTTTAAAACGTCACCGGGCCGTGCCCAATAAGGACGCCCCTGTCAACATTTATCACATGACGTCACCGTGAAATTAACTGGTATTCTCAATCTGTAGGTGTGGCCTTGAACATGAAACTTTACCACGCTGCTGTATGAAAGGACAATACATACTTTCGTTGAAGGTTACCTCGTGGAAGATTGTGCAGGCAGTGTCATCTGGAATTTTAGAAAATAGTGAACCACCTGAAGCATCCTAAAACACGTATGTCTTCTCTTCTGTTAAGATTGAAAAACCGATTGATACGGTGGCATCCCTTTTGTGAAGGTCCTTCCTGCCGACCCTCCGCCACCAACGCATGGACTGCAGTCCTCAAGTTTTGCCTTGCATACTCCAAATAGAAACCTCGTGGATTGCGGCCTGAGATGGCCGGCACAGGTGCGAGCTCTCTGAGAAACAGCGCGCTTGAGACGAGTCGCAGGTGTACAAAGTCTGGGTCGGCACAGCGAGGCCACGTCTGGCCTCCTTCCTGGGTTTCGGATCACCAGAGCAGCATGTCACGTTCATGTCGGCTGATGACGTACTCTTGAGCCGCCCAATATTACGGGCACCACCGCAGACACATTCGAATATAACTTCACAGCGTGAGTCTTCCTACTATTTCAAGTCAACCACCGCCAGGCTCGTGCTGCAGCGGAGTGTGACTCAGCTTTGCCGGCTGGGAGGACTGTGTACGCTAAGGCAAGAGAGACAGTTAAAAGCAGGCTTTGGATGCCCAGCAAACAATGACTGAATTAACCCCCACCTAAGGACTTGCGGCCCAAGATGCTCCGGCTCCACTCCTGGAACGCCACCTGGTTCGAGTCCCCAACTACGCAATGCTTCTCAGAAGAGAGGACACATACAGAAATAGTTTGGAGAATCGGAAGGAATTTTGGTCACTACCATGGCAACAATGCCCCAGCGTCTCCTTGACCCTGGTGCCCTCAGAAGTAAAAAAAAAAAAGAATGTGTTTCAATCTGTATTTGTTTTGTTTTTTTGAGGGGCGGGGGGGAGTATTACTGAACAAATGTAACGAAATACATTTCATCCTGATTGTATCGCGATACAAAGGAAAATTCAAAATGTATTTCGATACAGGAATACAAATACTGGTGAAAAACATGTATCGCAATACAGAAATACAGATACCAAATGAATTTCTAAAATACTATTGTATCGCGATACTGCCTAACCCTGGACACAACGCAACATTTCCACTGACAAAATGTTGTGCCCGTGAAATATTTCTCAAAACATGTTATGCCCAACCCTCATTTGCAGCCAAACGGAAACTTAAAATGTATTACAAATACTGAAGTGTACGCACCTGCGAGAGATTATTAATACGGTTGGTGCTCTGGCACACTTGGCTGCAAATCCCGAGGCGATGCTTGTGCCAATCTGTTTTGTAGTCCTGTGATGTGGTCACGTGTTGATGACGTGTTGACCAGATCTCCTGACGATGATGGCCACTGGCGCTCTGCACTGGAGTGGTGATTCTTGAAATCACAAAGTGTGTGACGGGCAGAACGCTGTCTAGAGGATACAGCACTTTCCACACAAGAGTAGCCGGGGTGCCTGCGAGAGATTATTGACACGTTTAGTGCTCTGGCATACTTGGCTGCAAATCCCCTTTATTTTAGGATAGCAATGGTTGTAAAACGAAAAAAAACTTAGTATATATAGAGGTGTTGATGTATAAATCAACTTTTCAGCCGAAATGGCTCAATATATAGAAATGCCACTTACACAAGGGTATGACTTATAGTCTGGAAAATATTGTATATCAAAACATATGACAAGGAAATTTGTTTCCCTTTGCTATTTTCTAGCCTTGTTATTGGTTTTGCACGCAAAAAGGACAACTTTATTTACAGGTAGTGTAATACCCCTGTCAGACGGGCTAGTTTAGTGTCACTACAAGCGAGTGCACTTCGCACTTAGTGTCATTTCTGTAGTTTGCCACACGGCTCCTTCCTGAGGAACAGACTTGGCTTGGAGTGAGTTTGACGAACTCACATCGCTCGATCGAGCGCGTGGAATCAGTAGGAGTGTTTCAACAGTAAAACATAACAACACAGAAACCAAAAGCGTTGCGCAAGTTTTATTTTATAAAGAAAAAGAAATTCGTGAAAGAGACGACATGTAGAAGAGTGGCATTGCAAAAAAAGTAGTGGGGTGGACTTGGAGTTTAGCCTTACCTGAATCAAGATTAGCGCAGTGGTGAATTGATAAAAGACGACGACAAAGTCAGTCATTCATGGCTATCTTGGTTAGCAGAGAATGATAGAGCCTACTTTTGTTGCAGCATGTGACTACTTGAGACAACACAATAATTATGATCTGATTAGGCAGTGCAGGGCCTCCTCATAAAGTTCCGTGGAACGAAGCGGAACGCCAAAGTTGGATATGCTTCGTTCTTTATCTCAATTAATCTAACTTAGTTTCAGAGCACAGCTCCTAGGCACCCGCTTCTGAGTTGAGCTGCGTCGGCGTAATCGCGCGTTGAAGCAGTTGCACTAAGGGCAGTTTCCCAAAATGACGTCACACGTGACGTCATGTGTTACGTCACGAGGGTAAAATTTTCCCGCTAAATTTTGCGGTAAAAGTTTTTGCTAAGTTTGGCGGAAAGTTGTTCCGCTAAATTTAGAAGAAAAATTTTACCCGTGTGACGTCACATGACGTCACAGTTAAAATTTCAGATGACGTGTCATGTGACGTCACACGTCAATTCAGCGGTAAAATTTCCCGGCTAAATTTAGCGGGAAATTTAGCGAAAGTTTTACGCTGAGTGAGATGGGAACAGGAGAGGAGGATGGGAGGGTACGGAGGGGGAGCAGCTGGCATACCCTCCCCTTCGTACCCTTCTTCCCTCCTCCTCAAGAGCTGCGCTCCAATTCGGCATTACAGTGAATTGTAAACGTCTAATTTTTTTAACGTGTCTTTATTAAGGGGTATCGGTGGCCGAGTGGGCTAGCGCCCACCAGGTCGGAGTACGTGGAGAGAAAGCTCGCGCTGGAGAACCCAGTGATCCTGAACTCAATCCCCAGCCCTGCCCGAAGAACACACTTCCAACGAAGTGAGTTCGGGGAGCACACTACGCTCGCTTCGGTAGACCAAGTGTGTAATCTCGATAGCACTGTTCAAGGAGTAGAAAGAATAGAAGGAATTAACGCTGCATAAATTTAGTATTATTTGGATAGGAGTAATATTAGATGCGCACTTGTTTTCTGTTGGCAAGATAGTAGTGCATTGTAGAAGAACAAGCGGCGAATCTAGTTTCCAGCCTCGGCCCCAGCGCGACGGCCAGCGACGGCCGGGAGGCACCTGCAAGACTCCACCAGGAATCTGAAGGTGGCAGGAGAGACGCGATAGGCTTGCTTGAAATGGAACTCGCCCAAATGGCGCAAGGTGTCTTCGAACCACCGCTCGTTCCTCTGGAAAGTCCACCGTTCTCGAGTGATCACGGGTAGGTTGTCGGTCACGAGAGCGGCTATGGTGAAGGCATTGGCCTGCAGCTGCTGATCGATGTCACTTGAAATTCTTGCCTGTCCGTCGGCATCCAGGTCCAGCTGCCTCTCATCTGAAAGGCGTTGGGCTCTCACGAAGAAACGTGCCCCAACCACGCGCTTCCACTGTCCGACATCGCGGATATCACGCTCCAGCTCGTCCTCCACACACTCCAAGATGTTTCGTTATGGCGAGTGGCGAGTGGCCAGTGGGCTCACCCACACCAGCTTGGAGCACGCGGAACGAAAGCTCGCGCTGCAGAACCCAGGAATGCTGGGTTCAATCCCTACCTTCTGCTCGTTTTGATCTATGATCCGTTTCACCTTATGTTGTACCACAAACAAGGATAGAAGCGCGAGCTCATAGCGTTGGGAGCTACTCTTAACGCACAAGAGCTTGTGCCGCCAAGATGGGCCCTACAGCAAGGAGCTTGCGCTTGTAACCTTTCCTGCGGTACATCATAAGGTGAAACAGAGTATAGATGAGCATCGTACCGGTGTGCGGACGTGTATCACTGGCTTTTAATGGCTGATCGTAATGATTAAATTGGATTCGAATTTGGATTAAAGCTCGTGACTTAGCGCAACATTGTGTGGTAACGTGTTTCTAATAAGATGGCGAGGTTATTTATGAAAAAATGCGCATGCACTGTAATATTTTGCGTGCCCATTACTTACCCATCGCAATTGCCATCATTTTGGAGTGACACTAAGTTTTCCCGTGTGGCACCAACACACTTGGAGTGTGTTTCGATGGGTTGAAGTGCACTCGCTTGTAGTGACACTAAACTAGCCCGTCTGACAGGGGTATAAGAGTTCTTTCGCCTCCCTCCATTTCATCTCCCTTGGTGAGGTGTCCCATAGCCGTCACTCTATGGAATGCCTCAAATTTTTGTTCCTTTCTCTTGAACCTCTCAGGGAGCACATCTCTAGAAGAAGAAGAGGCACTGGTACAATACACACAAAATCATAAATAACCTAAAAATTGTTGTCAAACAGAAAATCTTCCAGGAATTCTTTTATCTATTCAGATTTACTTCTACAAGACAGGGCCGCCAGTTTCCATGATTTTTTTATCGTAAATATTTGAAAAATGTTCTTATCATCGAACTGCTGTAATATATTATTCACCGGGTACATGTTTCTTCGGTTTCTATTTGCTTTTCAGCTATCGACAAATCGAAAAAAAGGCTTTCTTTGGTTTAGGTGTACAAAACAAAATTTTCCATTTAAATATTTTTGCTCGAGCTCTATGGGAAGCACATGTGTCTTCCTTTATTTTGCCAGTTTATTAAACCTAAATAGTTTGCTACTTTTATCTTAGTTCAAGCTAGGACTGAATCCTGCATACCCACCCCACAATATGTATCGTAATTTTATTTCTTTATCCCATTCATTATCCTGGGTCCATGCCTACCTTTAGCTTTCTTTTTTTTTTGAGCAAGGAATATGCGTACATTTTTTTACATTTTATTATGTCATTCAGTTTAATTTGCGTAATAAATAAAAATCATTAATTTTTACAATTTCTCCCACACATCTTTTTTTTGCCTAGCTGTATGGTGCAAGATACATTTGAGGTTCTTTTGTGGAGTGAGTTGATAAACTGGTTTTATAAATACACCATAACCACTGTTCGATTACGTAATATCAAAGCGACCAGGAAAGGAATGTAGCGGGTGAGTCTTCCCACGTACGGTTGCCGAAAAAGGCTCGACAAACCAGGTTGTCATTATGAGATGAGGTCACAGAAGTGGTGCACGTACATTCGTTCCTAACTGGCATCTGTTCCCACGCTCGGAGAATAGACATGTGAAACCCCAGCTCCACCCAGGGATTCCAGCCTCAGTCCAAGGGCAGAAGGCAGAGCCAAGTCTGCAAGGACGTGCCTTGTTGCATTGGGCAAACGGGACCCACTAAACCTGGTTGGCCTTCCCGACTGGGCTGGATCCAAGGGACCTGACCCAATTCATCCACTAAAGTATCGCACCATGTTAAAAACAAATGTAGCATAAGAATCGCTCCTAGGCTGAAAGTCATCTCATAGTCTAGTTTTAGCGTGTCCAAACACCCTAAAAGCTGTTCAAACAGGACGCTGCAGAGGTCACGTCAAATGAAAGTCGCTTTCTGCCAGTCCCGTTTCAGTTTTCACATTGAACATGAAAATGGCACCGGTTTCTGTAAAGATTTATTGATAATCGTCTAACCCTCTTTTTTAAGAATGCAAGAAAAAAAGTGTTTTCCTCCTCCAAAAAAAAAGAAAAAATTACTAGAGAGGATTACAGTACATAATATACTGGTGCTGCGTTGCAGGGCACCATCCTGCTGTGTCTTCTCGGGGCAGCCCTTTAGTCAGTAAAACTCTGATAATGTAAAAGCTATCATCCCACCTGGGTCATCATCTGCAACTCGTCAACTTACATTTTCTGGATCAATGCTGCATTGGAATGTTTTCAGCAATGTGTGAGAGTGAGTCATGTTTTTTTTTTCCGCACAACTTTGAAATGACTGAATGGTTTACCTCGGCAAAAAATGCACCGTTTGGGGCATGGCCATGCAGGAGGCAATACTTTGACACCAAGAGGTCCCATTCCCTTCCCTTGGCCGGCTCTTGTGGTACCCTTGTTTCTGTGGCCTGAAAGGATTATCCCTTCAGCGCCGTGCATACTTGGGCCTGCATTGAAACCAAAATAATTCCATATGCACCGACTTGCCATTAAAGGCCAAAGTACACTTCTTAACTCTTACTTTCTACTCACCTGACACAGCAGGATGTTGTTAACAGGAATGCCACTGTTCACTAGAAAAATTATTTGTAAATGCTCCATAGTAATGAATCATCGTCAAGATCTAATGAAATAACAAGCATGGCCACTAAAGACGCTGTCCTATATCGTGAAGTAGTAGTGGACGTGATTTGGCTATCATTTGCAAGGCCTAGCTTGATGACATTGTAAATAACTCCGTGTCCGGTCACATAATCTTTTTTTTTTATGCCTTCGCATTAATCCTTTCGTACAAGTGTTGAACTTGGACTGGTTTTGAGCACACTTATATAATTGCTTGAAGCTTTGCTATGGGAATCACGAAAAAAAGAAAGTTGTACTAATGCACCAAGACGATTACCATTGTATATGTCCGAACAAGTTCTCACCTGTTTTCCAGCAAAAGAAACAAATAGCAAAGTTATGCATGAATGATATATTGTGAAGAAGCCTGTCGACAACCTGATGAACAGTGTATTGAATGCGAAGAACAGAGGAACTAACAAGTTTTCTGTTCACCGCATGGTTCACGAAAACTCAAAGCATTTGTGAACTGTGCATTGACATTGTGTAGGCTCATTCTTTTTAAATGAATAAAGTACTCAGAAAATATTTAAGTAGTCTAACGCAGGCCGAGCAGGAAATTTGCAGAAGAATCTGCTCCACAACAGTACTTATAACCGCATTTCTTGAATATTGGCCTGAGAAAATAAACAATTATGTTGTATATTGACATATGCTTACGACGTTATTAAAGGTTCCCTGAAAAGAAATGTTTGTTTAAACAGTCTGCTTTGGCATACGGGTGTCTAAAAATAAATTTTATGCAAAAAAAAAGAATTATTTATTATACGCATATTAATGACGATAGATTTATCTGAAATTCTGCGCATGAAGTCTCTGACTTCACGGAATGGTCACTCATTCTTTCGACCTCAACAAGATGGTCATTTGCTCTTTCCACCTCAACGTGAAGGCAAAGTCGATGAACTTGTCCTCCACGTGACTGAAATGCCAAGAGAGAAATCAAATGGAGAGGAGATGACTACCAACTAAATCGTGTTTTGCGTCACCAAAAATTGCTTTCAAAACATATATTTTTTTTTTTGTGTGTGTAAAACTAATTTTTTGAGATGCATGTCTCCCAACCAGATTTTTAATTTTTTTTTTTTTTTTAGGTTTCCTTTATAGGGGTAGAAAAACAAAATTTCAGCGCTCATTTTCTAGCTTGAATGTGTCGCATGCTGCACCCTAACCTCAAAAACACCAGTCTTCCGTTGAAAGGCACAAGAAAACTAATTTTAAAGCTAAATAAACAATCTTTCAATGTGCACCTGGTGGATGCATGCGGAGCCTATTTGGGAGGTAGTCTAGCAACTTTGGGTAACTTATTACGTAGTCTTGACGGAGCAGATTCTTTCGAAGCAGCGCTGACCTTTGGAATTTCAACATTTTCCTTCTTAGCTTTCCTTCAAGCTCAACTCACAAATCGCGCATTGTACCAAACGGTCCACGAAGACGGAACGACTCCCCTCTTTCTCAGACCCTTGTTCGTGCAACCGGAAATAGCCAATTTAGCCCGTCGCTCAAAACTCGAACAAAAGTTGCTTTTCCGACCCCGTTCAGCCCTAGGTTGACAGTGCTGTGGAAGCTACGTGCCCCTTGGGCCAGCCGCACGCTCGTCACTCCATGGGTACTTCGAACGGCTCGGTTGTAACGAACTGACGCTACTGACACCACCACAACGCTGACAACGCCACCAAGGGCAAAGCTCATAACCACGCCTGCCTTGCTACGTCACGAATATCTTTGCTTTCTGTTCTTGTTTCCGCCAGATATCCCGTGATGCATCGCGCTCTCCGTTCGCTTCTCTTCGAGCGCTTGCTCGAGTGCACCGTTTGGAACGACAAATATAGCCAGTTGTTCAAAATACAAGCGTGCGATTATCATTTAGTATGGTTATTATCCGTCATGATTGACTCATTCCCGAACGAAATTTTAATATTTAAATTTTTGTTTCCGCACCCCTTTAAGATACCAGAGAAGTGGCAGTGCCCCCAAATGAAACAAGGCGTGAAGTTGGGCTAGTTGGTTCATATTGCAAACTTGGAAACAGTGCAAAAAATACAAGGGACAAGAACGAAAAGTGAACAAACACAACGCAGTGTTCATTCACTTCTCGTTCTTGTCGCGCCTTTTTTGCACTGTTTCCAAGTTTGCCCCCAAATGAAGCCCGACACTCGTTTTGCATAAAATTTCAGACACGACTAAACAGCTTCAAGAGAAGCTACCTTCGGCAACTTTGATTGAGCTCGAATGCCAGGTGACGCTTCATGAACCTGCCTAGACACATCTTTATTTGTCTCAAGAGATGCGCTTTGAAGAAATCAGCATGGTCACGAATTAAAAGGAAATGTCTATTCACTATTGTGAACGCTGCAATTTTTATGCAGATGCCTTCCTTTCAGCGTCACACTGCGTAACCGAGGCACTGTAGGAATCTCAGCCAATATGGAACGCAAGGGTCCTCAACCTTTTTTGGTAAAAATAAATAATTCAATTGAACTTATTTATCTTAAAGGACCTTTGCAATAATTTTTAAGCCTCTACTTTTTTTGTGGTTTCCACGTCTCTTGGGGTTCGGACAAGCCAGCGGGCACGGAGAGAGTAACTAAATACCAGTGCGTCATATTTTAATGGGACGACGAAAAATCCTCCTCCACTTACGGGGGCGACCCGCGGTGCCGAAAGCGCGCACTATGGAAAGTCTTTGGTCCTGGGCTTACCACTGGTCAGAGCTGCTAAAAGCTTCTTTTAAGTCAAAATACAAAATATAAGTGGTGCGAACCGTTTCAATTATTTATAAAAGTAGCTTTTGTTCAGTATTTTAGATCAAAAAAGAGACAAGTGCAGTTTATAAAGTATGGAAACAAGAAATGACCCGTCAACATACCCGCCACCAAGCGGTGGAAAAAGGCGGCACATACTAGAAAGGAGTAGTGGGATCAGGCATCTACGAGCGGCAAGCGTAGAAAGGTCCTGGATGTACGCGGCGGCGCTGCGGTCATATACCGGCTCGAGTATCCGACCAGTTCCGAGCGTTCTGAAGGCCTTCGGCGAGCAGCTTTGGCTTGCAGTTTGGCCGTTTGGCAGTATGGCAGCGCAAAGCGGCTCCTGTTCTGAACTAAACTTTACCCCGTGTTTGCTGTCGTTTCTGGGCAATAAACTGTCATGCCGAATTAGTGTTTAAACCAGCAGCAAATGCAATGCAAACCGCCCTAGCCACCCCCTTCATCCAGCCAATCCAGCACGTGCTTTAGTGGCGCCCTCTCGAGCCGTCGACGCGGAGTGCGGCAGCCGTGAGCATTCGCTGAGCTCACTACCCCTCCTCTAGTTCACGGCCACTCAAGCGACCAATAACGTCATGAAGGAGGTTAGTTTTTGCTTGTTTTTGTAATTTTGATTTTGCTAAAACGTTTAAAATAAGCAAAATTTCAGAAAAGTTTTATTAAGTTACTATGTTCAGTGTGCTCAATTTGGGTGCAAATTAAAAACCATTAAAAAGTCCTTGCAGGGCCCCCTTTAAGAAAGTAATTAAAGCACTCAAAAAAATTCAAGCATATGTGACGGAGCACGGTAGACAGTTTCTTGAAATTAATAAATGAACTGGTCAAATGAATTTTAGTATCGGAATGATCCACAACTGCAAACATTTGTAGCTGTGGTCTTGTCAAAAAACAAATTGCGTTATTCCTACGTATTGTTATTCATAACATGACATTTTTTTTTTACGTAAATGTACATGTTAATGCTTATGTTACCCGCGCTCACGAAGAGTTACCTGACATAATCCATGGCAACTCTTCTACATCCGTTATCAATACAAAGCAGGATGGTTTCAGGAAGCATGCATAGTGGCCCCTTACTCTGATTATGCGTAATCGTAAATACAATACTCCAAAGAATTTTTTGTTCTCAATGTTTTGCCAATCTAGGAAAGTGTATGTTTTGAGAAATATTTCACGGGCACAACATTTTGCGAGTGGAAATGTTGTGTTGAGTCCAGGGTTGGGCATGCTATCGCGATGTATCGCGATAGTATTTCAGAAATTCATTTGGTATCTGCATTGCTGTATCGCGATACATTCTTTTAAGCAGTATTTGTATTCCTGTATAGAAATATATTTTGAACGTTCCTTTGTATTGCGATACAATCAGAGTTAAATGTATTTCGTTACATTTCTTGAGAAATACTCCCCTTCTCCCCCCATCCCCTCCCCCTCCTCTCCTCTCCTCCTCCCTCCCTCCCTCCCCCCCTCCCTCCCTCCTCCCCCCCCCCCCTCCCTCCCTCCCCCCCTCCCTCCCCCCCCCAAAAAAAAAGATCAATAAATCCAAACGCATCTTTTTTTTCTTTTTTTTACTTCTTAGAGCACCAGAGTCCAGGAGATGCTGAGGCACTGTATTATGCTGACCAAGGTTCCTTCCGATTCTCCATACTTTTCTATGCGTCCTCCCGGCACACCAGGTGGCGTGCCAGGAGTGGAGCCAGAGCATCTTGTGCCGGAGGTCCCCAGGGGTTTCTTGAGTCATTGTTCGCTGGCATCCAAAGCCTGCTTTTTACTGTCTCTCTTGCCTTTACGGACACAGTACACCCCGCCGGCAAAGCTGATTCACAGTCCGCTGCAGCTCGAGCCTGGTGGTGGTTGACTTGAAATAGTAGGATGACTCACACAGTGAAGTTCAACACATATTCGAATGCGTTTGCGGCTGCGCTCATAATATTGCACGCTCAATGGTACGTCATCAGCCGGCGTGAACGTGACCCACTGCTCTGGTGATCCGAAACCCAGGAAGAAGGCCAGATGTGGCCTCGCCATACCGACCCAGACTTCGTACACCTACGACTCGT